GGGGGGGGGGGGGGGGGGGGTAGGAGGAGTAGCCTGTCAGGGCAAGGCAGCAGCTCAGGAAGGGGCCCAGAGTGCTACAGGCCAGTCCAGTGTTCATCCCATGGCCTGAGTGCCAGCTGGCAGGTCCCAGGCCTCTTGTGTCCCAGGCATCGCTGACATTCCCTGCAGTCCCTTCCTTGTTTACTCCTTTTCCTGCCAGATGGGCTTGGCAAATGGGCACAGCTCATCCCAGGAACCAATCATGCCACCTTCTTTGGAAATTGCCCAACCCTCCTTGACTATTTGCCGTCCCCAACTGATTTGAGCGCCAAGCCTGGACAACAGGAACAGAGGCTGCCCTGGCTCCACTGTTCCCACTGGACCCATGCGCAGTTCCACTCTGCCTTACGAAGTTAGCTAGGGCAGAGGATATGGAAGGTGACAGTTGCAAGGGGTGGGGGTAGGTGAGGGTGCTCCACGTACCTCTGACCTCTGCGATGCCAGTAATAAGAACATGGCCAGCCATGCCCTCTGTATCCACAGCTCAGGCAAATAACTGCCTTTTTGCACCTGCGGGGGGCCAAGCATCACAGGACATCTGGAGCCTGCAGGGCCTGTCTGCTCATACCCTGAAGCCAGGACCAGCTATGTCATTTGCAGGGCTTCTACCACAAAACACACAGCCTCTTGCTCAACACAAGGGCTTGCTGTGTAGTTCCAGATCCAAAACAGAGCCCCTTCTGCTCTTGCCTTCCCAGCATTGCTCAATGATGAAGCCAAAAGGCGACTACTGACCGTCTTTTCAAGGAGCTTTCTGATATAGAAGGCGTGGGCTTCTTTCTCAAAATCTCGAGGTGGTGACAAGGAGGAGAAGCAGAGGCAGAGCCACTTGTTGGAATAGGATGTCACTGTTGTGGATACTGTGGTTGTGCGCTTTTAGCATTGTGCATTTTAGTTCTCAGCTTACCGACTGAACAGTCTGGTAAATCTGCAGTGTCATCTGCCCTGGAGAGCAAGCCCACATCTGCTAACAGGATTAGTAAGTGCAAGGTGAAGTTTGCTTCTCTCTGCAGAGAGGCCCCAAACCTAGCACCACACTGGGCTTAGACTGTGTGAGACTGATTCCGAGCTGCTCTCAGCCCGGTCACACCCAATCTGCAAAGGCCAGATCTGACACTGGATTCATAAGAAGAGACCGACACCAAGGAGCCTCTGTGCAGGAGGAGCCTTATCCTTCTGCCTCACTTGCACAAGTCCCAAGCAAGTCACATGCATCCTGTCCTTAGTCAGTAGCATTGTTCCCTTTAGGCGGTATACATGCCCACCCTCCAGAACTACCTTGGTTGAGTGACTGCCTGGACCCACAATTTGAGGGCTTATGAAGAAACTTTCTCTCTCTCTCTCTCTCTCTCTCTCTCTCTCTTAAAATTTGACAATTTCATGCATGTGTAACTGAATTTTGGCCATTTTCACCTCATTACCCTCTTCTACCTCTCTCTCTCTCTCTCTCTCTCTCTCTCTCTCTCTCTCTCTCTCAAACTCAACCAAGGTTCTAGGATTATGCCTTTTAGTCCACTCAAAACTGTAATTGGGCATCTTATAACCAACAGAAGCGTCATTTCTCATAGTTCCAATATCAAAGTGCCAGCAGACTCAGTGTCTAGCAAAAGCCAGTCTTTGGGTCATACATGACCCCTTGTCACTGTGCCCTCACATAGTGGATGAAGAGAGGGAGCTCTTTGGAGCTGTGTTGTAAGAGCACACATTTCCTTGGTGAGGGCTCTACCCTCTTGACCAAGTCACCTCTAGAAAGCCATACCTCCTAAACTTATCGTCTGTCACCCCAAGCTTCCAGCAGGTTGGGTTTTGGCCAGCCACACATATTCAGACCACAGCAAATGGCTTACTGACTTTGTTCCTCCCAGGCACTTCATATGTGACTGGGGACAGTAAGACACGGAGAATCCTCAGTGATTTATGGTGTCCTATGTAGACTGGTCATAATCTCTGGCAGATTAGCACCAAATCTCAGAAATCAGAGCCTACTGATTGCCAGTCCTTCCCTGGGTCACTCCAGAAGTCACCAGACTCTACATATACTTTTCTTCAAGGGCTGGCTCCCTGCAATCACTCTTGGACAGCAAGCAGTGTGTGGTGTCACACACAGGAAGTTACTGGGTTGAACTCTGGCTTAGAATGTTCTTTGAAAGGAAGTAGAGACTGTGACATGTGACAGCAGGGCGTGGACCCTCTTAGTGCAGGGCCTTGTAGGACGGCCTGGCCTGCCTACTAGCCCCTGAGACCCATTCAGCCTCAGCACTTCCCAGGGCCTGAAGGAGATCAAGTTTTCCTAAGAAAGTGCTAAGGAAAGGGCCTTGGTTTATCTCCAGTACCTCTCAGAGAATGTTCCTAGGGCAAGGTTGATCTAGGACGTGGCCTGAGTCAGACTGCAAAACAGTACAGGTAGCTTTGTCCCAGGATGTTCCCAGGCTTTCTCCTCGGGTGGGGACCCTGGGGTGTACACTCTCAGAAGGGTGCAAGCTGGGACAAGCCAGATTCCCAAATGTGGCCTCTGTTCAAAGAAGCAGGCCTGCAATTGTGACATGCTATTAGCTCACTATGTGGCCTCAGGTAAGGAACCTCATGTCTCTCCAGCCTCAGTTTCCTTAACAACCACCAAAACAGGTTCAAGGTTCTTTTTCATTGTGCTTTGATCCCAAGTTTATTTGCTATTAAAATGAGTCCGTCTCTCAGGCCACATGATGAGGAATTTCACCTCAAAGGTCGCTTCTAGGTGGCATCTCTCCCTTCCTTTCTCTTCTACATCAAATCCTCAAGAAAAGTCAAACTCCACCTAAAGCCTTGTCGGAATTAGCTAAGAACCACAAAGATTACATCAGTCACCTTGGAGAGGTGACACCGTGGGGACACAAATTCCTCAGTCCCTTCTAGAAGGGGGATGGAAAAGACTAGAGCCCCCCCCCCCTCCACACACACATTCCCTAGAGATTCTAAAGACAAGCAAACAAACCAAAAAATCGTCTCTGGGACTGATGCAATGAGCACCTAGATTTGTGCCGATTTGAGGCAGAACTTGGTATTCTTGCCTGCTGTCAACACTGTATCTGATTAACCACTCCCACGCCCATGTTTGAGCACAGCTGCACCTGCACAGGTATTGAGCCAGCCTGGTAACCAGCTCAACAGCCTTTGACTAGACTAACAGCCTGTTCCTGTGGGAACCAGGCACATCTTTTTCCTGTAAGGATTCTCTACTCAGTGTTGAAGAGTGGTAATCCAAGCCAGTGTGTGAGCTGGGGAGGATGCAGAATTGTATCTCAATTGTGTTCCTTGAGACAAGAACACCACCGCAGCAGCACTCCAGTGGGGAGCGGACTGGCTCTTGGAGTCCATTCCGGGACTTAATCTTCTAAATCTAGCATAGATCCAATGTTGGATTGCTCTGTGGCCTTGGCTGGAAGATGCAATTTCGAACTAAAGTTGCTTTGTTATGGGCATCTTTGTTCTAAAGATCAATGATTTATGGAGCACACATCCTGTTGGCAGGGGCAAGTGTGTCACTGACTGGCGATGGGGCAAGGTAAAGGCACTGTCCCTAGGACAGGCCACAGGCCCTGCTGGGGGAAGAAACTTCATGCCAAAGCTTGGCATAGAAGGGAAGGACTGTTTCCTACCCCTGAACAGGTAGGTTTACCTGTTCCCTGTGGCCTTTAAAGTTTGTGAATCCGGTCCCATAAAACAGCATAACATTTCCTGGGTGACAGCGTCCTCAGCTCAGGCCTACCTGTGAGATCTAGAAGACTTGGTTTTACTAATCTCCTGTCCCCTTTCCCTAGAAAGTCACCAAGTACTTTCCAATGAAGATGACAGTTGCTTAGGGAGATGCCTCTGTTGCCATCCATCTTCCCTGTTTCTTGGAACTCTGCTTTTTAAAAATATTTTATGTGTGAGTGTATTGTCTGCATGTATGTAAGTGTACTCATGTCATGCAATGCCTGCAGAAGTCAGAAGAGAGTCAAATTCTCCTAGACCTGGAGTTATGGACGGTTGTTAGCTGCCATGTGGGTGCTGAATTGAACCCAGATCCTCTGCAAGAGTAGTCAGTGCTCTTAACCACTGAGCCACCTCTCCAGCCCTGGAACTCTGCTCTTTAAAGAGGGCAGTGCTGTCCTCCATGATGCTCTAACAGTGGCATTTTAAGCACAAGGCAAGTAATTAGGACCCCAGCCTCTCAGTGGGCATAGTGGGACTGCAGAGGAAACTGATAGGAGGATCCTAGGGCTTTGGCCCATCTCTGCCAGCTGCATCCCATGTGTACCCATAGACATTCTACAAGGGTAATACCTCTGCTGTCACTATAGAGAGCTCAGGCTCAGGGCCAGTCAGGCATTTTGCCAAAGCCACACGACTAAAGACGTGGCAATGCCAGTACGCAGGCATCTTCTGTGAGGTCAAATTCTGAACTTTGAACCCCAGCAGAACTGCCTGCCTGGCTTCCCCCAGCCAGGCAGGAGTTCTGCTGGGGCCCTACCTACTGCTGGGCTGTTTTGAGGCTCAGATGAAATAGTGCCTATGGAGGGATTGTCAGATTGTCAAAAGTGGCCCCATGTAAGGCACTGGTACCCCAACTTCATGCAGCACCAGTCAGTTTTGTGGAACCCTCTCTTTCCCAGGAGCTGAAAGCCAGGCACTTCTGCAGTTCCAATGCATTATTTGAATTCTTGAGATGGTAGAAAAGTCACTTTCTGAACTAGCCAGTAAAACACCACTGAATAGCATTCTAGGACATCTTGTTATTTGCATGGCATTGCACAATTTAGACAAGGGGTCCAGAGAGGCCAAGTTAAAATCTGTCCTCACACCCTCCATGGGGTAGAGGGCAGGCCTAGGGAACCCAGCCATATCACATGAGCACATCATGTTATTGTGGCTTCAGGAAGACGGAGAGGGAAACCTGTCTTCCATGCCAGTGGCCTGGTGGGGCGGGCTGTCCCACTTAGCAAATGTTCTTTGAACCTGGCTATCTCAGACTATGCTCTAGACACAGGAAAGGGGAATGGGACAGGCTCAGCCTTCAGGTAAGTGAACACATACTCCAATGAGGGAGAGATAACAAATAAATGCAGCCAAAGATGCTTTTGAGATTGTGAAAGACTCTGGACATAATAAAATGGGGATCAGATGGAAAGGCATGGTAGCCACCTTTGAAGAGGGTGATCAGAGTAGTTACACTAAAACAGAAACCCACATGCTTCAAAGGGGCCAACCAGAGCGGAGCCTGCTATTTTCCAGGTGGAGTCAAAGACAAAGGCCCTGAGTCAGGAACAAGCTTGGCATTTATTTTAGGAAGGGAGAAGAAAACACCATGGGTGTTCAGGTGTGGGCAAGGCTAAAGTGAGATTGGATGGGTCAGAGCGGACATACAGGCCATGCATCAGAGCTGAAGGCATGCTGTGAGGGACAGAAGGAAGGTCTTTCTTATGAATGAGGGACCTCTAAACAGACAGTAAGTGAATGTACTGTTCAGAAACAAGTCCTGGGCCCAAGCTGTGTGGAGAAGCCCTGAATAATTCCTGTTGCTCTTTCCTCTACAGCACTTTGCCCATAGGGAGGAAGGGGAAGTGCCCCAGTTCACTGTACATGGCCTGGCTGGAGACCTTGTCCCAGGATCTCAGACCTCCTGTTGTTCTGATCCGAGGCAACCAGGAGAACGTGCTCACCTTTTACTGCCAGTGATGCCAGGTCCAGCCAGTCCTGCCTGAAGTTGAGGGCATGGAGGACAAGTCAGAACTCGCCCTCTCCAGCCCAGGGAACAGCCTCGTGTTCTGTTGCACACTGAGTCATGGCATCCGATGGTCCTTCTGCAGAAAAGGATGTGTTTTCAAACTGACTGGACCCTGTGAGACATGCCCTCGGGGCCTTGTTCTCATGGGAAAGTATCAGCTGGTGTTGTATGCTGTCTCCCTCTGAAAGATGCTATCTCTTCAAAAAAGTTTTAATTTGTCTTGATGGCCATTAATTAGGACATCAGTCTTTGATTTGTATTAAATTAAGTCCCAGTGCTGGGTGTGCATCTTGGCAGTATCAACAGACCATCCTTGGTAACCCTCCCTATATTAATTTGCTTTCTATTGCTGTGATAAAATGATCTGACCAAAACCAACTTGGGGAGCAAAGTGTTTACTTCATCTTAGAGGCTTGGCTTCCTTCCTTCCTTCCTTCCTTCCTTCCTTCCTTCCTTCCTTCCTTCCTCCCTCCCTCCCTCCCTCCCTCCCTCCTCCTTCTTTCCTTCCTTCTTTCCTCCCTCCCTCTCTCCCTTCCTCCCTCCCTCCCTTCCTTCCCCTTCCTTCCTTCCTTCCTTCTTCCATCTTTCTTTTTTTTATTTATTATTTTTATTTTGTGTATGAGTGTATTACCTGCACGTATGTGAGTGCACCCGTGTCATGCAATGCTGCAGAGGTCAGAAGAGGGCTTCAGATTCCCCTGGAACTGGAGTTAAGTATGGTTTGTAGCTGCCATGTGGGTGCTGCAAATCGAACCTGGGTCTTCTGCAAGAGCAGTCAATGCTCTTAACCGCTGAGCCATCTATCCAGCCCCTCATCTTTCTTTTGACAAGGTCTCATGTAGTCCAGGCTAACCTTGAACTATGTAGCCAAGGATAGCCTTGAACTTCTGACCCTCTTGTCTCCACCTCCCAAGTGCTGTGATCTCAGGTACATGCCACCATACCTGGTTTATGTGGTACTAGGATTAAACCCAGGTCTTTATAGATGCCAAGCAAGCACTCACCAACTCAGCCACATCCCCAGCCCCTGTTCTTCTTCTCTTTTAAGGTTGTTCACAATCCTAGATGATTTTCAGACCCGCTAATGAGTGGTGATCCATGATTTGAAAAACAGCTTTTATTTCTGTAGATTGGGAAAGGGTCTCGCTGAGCATTGCTGTCGAAGAGTGTTGAGCTGTGGGCATGGCTAAGAAGAGGGGCAAAGATTGGGGTGCGGAGGGAAGCAGAGAGGGTGTGAAGATGGCAAGACCAGCAAAGGAAGAAAGGGAGGAGCAGATCCTACTTAGCCTAGGTTTGGACTGACCCACCAGTCCAGATGGAAGAAGAGCAGGTTGGCAGAGTAGCGAAGGTTTGGTTGGGGAAGTAGCAGGGGACAGTGGTGGTGACGGGGTTTACACCTGGCTGAAGGAAGCATGCTGGAGTTGCTGTGGCAGTGAGGGTGTGAGAGTGGGACATACACAAATATGCACTGAGACACCAACTGCAAAATACAGTGGGTTTGCCATCCTGACATAACAGAGGCAGAAAGCCGAGTTGTTTGGTGATAAGGTTGGCTATGTCTTCTAACACTGAAGGCATCAGGTGACCGAAGGAACAGGGTAAGGCATGCTTGGGTTTTGCCACCCTCCTCCATGGTCATTTGGTCACAAGAGCTGGCACCTTGAAGTTCAGACCGAATGGACTTCAGGTCTTCCCAATGCAAAATTAAGGGCTCCAGACCCCCAGGCTATCCCCAAACCTTCACTGTTCTCATACCATATCTGGGCTTGCTAAGCAAGATTCGAGTCTGGCAGATCTACAGGAGCTGCCACCGTGCAACCTGGGGACCTGGAGATAGATGTATGTCTCAGCCACTAAGCTGGACCCTGAGCCCCAGTCCATCTCCCGGGAAGGTGCTGCTGCCACCAGGCAGACCTCGCTCTTCAGAAACTACAGGATAAGCAATCTCCTGGCAAATGGTTTCCCCTCTTCAGAGCCCACAGAATTCTTGGCTTGGGAATACAAAAAGTTTGGCTTGGGTTGTTAAAAAAAATCTTTTTTTAAAAAAAAAATTTATTATTTTTATTTTATGTGTATACGTGTATTGCCTGCATGTAGGTAAGTGCACCCGTGTTGTACAATGCCCGAGGAGGACAGAAGAGGCTGTTAGATCCCCTGGGACTGGAGTTACAGACAGTTGTTAGTTGCCATGTGGGTGCTGGGATTCAAACCTGAGTCTTCTGCAAGAACAACTATTGTTCTTAACCGCTGAGCCATCTCTCCAGCCCCTAAATTTAAAAAAAAAAATTTTTTTTTAATTAAAAGAAATACTATTTTGGAGATCAATTGTTAACGATAATAACAGCTCTACTTTTATTTGTTTGTTTGTTTGTTTTGGTCTTTTTGAGATCAGGTCTCCCTGTAGCCCCAGCTGTCCTGCCACTGGCTATGTAGACCAGGGTGGCCTTGATCTCACAGAGATTCACCTGCCTTTGCCTCCCGAGTGCTGCCACCACCCCCAGCAGGAGGTCTATTTTTCAGAGAGAGAGAAACTTTCTTTTGGCAAGGTTTTACTGTTTACTAAGCCCAGGTTGGGCTTAGAACTTGTGATCCTTCTGCTTCAACCTGGAGTTACAGGTGAGTGCCACCATGCCCCCCACCAAAAGCTTTGAGTTAGCATCAAGGCCCAAAACAATGAAATCAATAAAAACATGTTCTCTGAGTCAGCTGTTTGTTTTTCCTTTGATTCTCTTACCTACATTGTAGACTGTGGGGAGCCCATTCACCTCAGCTTCAGGACATTGTCCCAGAATTTTGGGACAAACAGAGATAGGTTGAGTGCAAAGAACCATGATGCTGCCACCAGGAAACTTGGATCTGAGTTTTTGATACTCTCCCAAATTACCTGTGTAACCTCAAATGCCCCTCTTAACCTCTCTGGGCCTCCACTTGTGAAATGAAAAAATTGGGCCAGAGAAGGTATCACCAGACAATTTACCTGCTAGTGAGTGTGGTTTGCTCGAGGCATGGTTGACCAGAATGATGTCTGCCAAAGATGAACAGGTGGGGATAAGGGGAGACATTCCTCAGTCCTCGCCTCCCCTCCTATCCCACCTCTTCCTGCTGCCAAGCTGTAGAGCTGCCGGGCTGTATGGAAGAGATTCTAAAGCCCACTGCATCACTCTTTGCCTTTGGGCGACAAAATGCTTCACATTTTCATGCTAGGAGTTTTGTCCCTGGTGTTGCTGTTTTTGCTGTGTGTGACATCATGGGGTGATACCAGCTCTAGCCAGCAGCATCCCAGTGACCAAGGCAAAGGCTTCCCACTTATCTCCCACTGCCCAGTTAGGTGCCTCCCAGGTTCCCCCTTGGCATTTCAGCCCTCCAGAGTTAGTGATCTTCTTTCCTAGGCTCCCAGCCAGACTACTTGTGGCTTTGCAGTAAGTACAGTACAGCCTACTTTCTACCCAGTAACCCTGCCACTTCCCTGCTTACCAGGCCTGGGCCTCATTAGCCCATAGAGAGACCCACTTTGGACTAAATTCCTTTCAAACACCTTCCTGGCCTCTCTAGTGTAGTCAGGTTGAGGTTGGTTTCACAAGAATGAGACCAATTAGAATGTTCCAGAAGAACTACCTGGCTGGGAAGCCCCCAAGCATAGGCAAAGCAGCCAGGTTTCACTTGTGACTGTATAGTTCAGGCTGTCAACAAGCAATGTTTCAAGAGTGTTTACAAAACTGGGCTCAGGGAAGTCCAAAGACCTGCCTGGTTGGTTATGCCTCATTTGTGGGTGATTTAGTCTTGAGACTGAAGGCCCTGTGTGCTGCAGGTCCTCTTTCTGAAACATGCCACAGCAAATCTTCTGTCTGAAAACACTTAAGCCACTTTGTTGGGAGGCCTGAGAAATCCTCTGGATAAAAAGCCAGTGGCAAGTGACAAAGGCAAGGGTTTTTGAGAATATTAAAAAAAAAAAAAAAAGCCAGGCATGGTGGTGCACACCTTTAGTCCTAGCACTTGGGAGGCAGAGGCAGGCTGATCTCTGTGAGTTCAAGTCCAGCCTGGTCTACATAGACTCTGAACACCTCTCCATATCAGAAAAAAAAAAAAAAAAAAAAAAAAAAAAAAGAGGCTTGAAAGATGGGTAGTGTTCAACAGAAAGACCAATTCGAAAACTGGGGTTGAGAGAAGGCATGTTGAACCACAGGACAGCTTGAGCAAGGGCCAGCAAAAGAACAGCCCTAGGCATGCTGGGGGAGCCAGAAATAAACTCAATTTCCTAGAGTATGAGAGATATGCACACGGGAGAATCAGACCAGGAAAGCCAGCATGGAACAGTAGCAAATGCCTGTCATATCAGGACTCAGGAGGCCAAGGCAGGAGGATTGTGAGGTCAAGGCCAGTCTTGGCTATGTTCAAGTCCCTGGGTTTTTTGTTGTTGTTGTTGTTTGTTTGTTTGTTTGTTTGTTTTTGAGACAGGGTCTCCCTGGAGCCCCAGCTGACCTGGAACTCACTATGTACACCAGGCTGACCTTGAACTCACAGAGATTGGCCTGTCTCTGCTGGGATTAAAGGCTTTCACCACTGTGCCTGGCTTTGAAGTCCTCATCTTAAACAGACTGGAAGGCTCACAGATAACCCCAAGGAGCTTGCTACTGAAGGGGAGGGGCAGGGCCAAGCCTCAGGTAGTGTGTTTGGCTAGATGATGGGAAGATGCCTGAAGGCTAGTTAACAAGGCTTAGCTTCTAAACAAGGCAAATGGAACAGAGAAGAGGAAGGATACAGAGAAGAGTAAAATATGAAATGGAGATTTTCTGGATGCGTGTGTGAATGGAGACAGGGTTTCACAAACGGTGTAGGCAGTTGTAAAAAAGAAGTAACATGGGGGCAGGGAATTGGCTTCATGCGGAAGAGAGTGAACAGGCTTGGTGTGATCTTCTGTTAGTTATTTTTCTCATTGCTGTATGGAAATCCCTGACAAAAGCAGCTGAGGAAAGAAGACTTTTTGGCTGGCGGTTTGAGGATACAGCCTGTCTCACAGGTAAGGCATGTCAGCAGGAACTGGAGGCAGCTGGTCACACTGCTTTCCAAATCAAGAAGCAGAGATAGATAGATGAATACTGGTCCTCGGCGTGCTTTCTCCCTCTGTTCAGCCTGGGAGCCCAGCATACAGAATGGTGCTGCCCACATTCAAAGTGGGTTTTCCTACTTCAAATAAACTTCTCTGGAAACACCTGCACAGATCTTCCCAGAGATTCTAAATCCCATAAATTGATCAAGGTAAACTATCCCAGGTATTAGCACAACCAGGA